AACATCGAAAATTTTATCAAAACTTCAAATATTGTTTTTTCAAAAACTAAAAGTTATTTTTCAAAACGGGTTGGTTCATTGGAAAGAGGACACTTTTATTCACATTTTGGGAAATTTTCATACTCATATTCCAAGAAATCGATTTTATACGAATTTTTAAAACTTAATCGGCGAAAATTGCTAAATCGATTATTTCAAAAATTTATTTCTCCAGAACTAAGAGTGATTTTTCAAAACGGTTTTTTGCATTAAAAGCAGGATACTTTAATTAATATTGGGTGATATTTCCACAAGGATCCTTCAAGAAATTAATTTTATAGCGAATTTTGAAAATTATCGATGCAAATTGCAACATCGAAAATTTGATCAAAACTTCAAATATTGTTTTCTCAAAAACTAAAAGTAATTTTTCAAAACGTGTTGGTGCATTAGAAAGAGGACACTTTTGAGGCATGTGTTGGAAAACAAGTTCTTGAATAAATTATTTTTGTCGTCGGAACTAAATAAAAAACTGTATCTAAGTCGATTAACTAAAAATTCTTTTAATATTTAAAGAGAGGTGTAAATTTCTTATTAATATATCTTAATAATATTTTCTTATTATTAATACCTAATTTAAAACCTGCAACATGGATTTTATCAAATTTAATAAATTATTTTATATAAATTAATTCATATGATTATTTTTAGAATAAATTGTACAGAAAATTTTTAATCGTTGAAGGAATAAATGGAAAAACTGGGAAATTATGCCCACTCCCTGAATTAATGCTGCTTCGTAAGAAATATTTTTTAAGAATATTCTTAGATGAGTCGTTATCTTTTGGCGTTCTCGGCAAATTTGGTCGAGGAATCACCGAACATTTCAACATTGATGTAAGTTAAACTTAATTAATTAAGTAAACTTAAAATTTAATAAAAATTATTTTTGTAGAGAAATGATGTCGATATGATAATGGGTAGCTTAGAAGGCTCGTTCAGTTCAATTGGTGGATTTTGCGTAGGAGCTTCCGTTGTAATCGAACACCAACGTCTATCGGGTCTTGGTTATTGCTTTTCAGCATCTCTTCCACCATTTCTTAGCTATATAACGACGTGTGCCATAGAATTGTTTGAAAAAGAACCCGAAATGTTTGAGAAATTATCCAAAGTCTCCATTTCAATGCATGAAAAATTAAAAAAATTGCAAGAAAAACCAAACGTTCAAATTTTAAGCGATGATATTTCCCCGAAAAAAATTTTGAAGATAAATAATATTGATGCCGTTCATAAATTCGTAAGTTATAAAATACTTTATTTTCATTAATAATTTTAATATATTTTTTTAGTGTGTAGAAAAAGACGTTTATATGGCCAAAGAAGATGACACTTTGGTTATGAATTTAAATATTAATTATGCCGATGATCAATTGGATAAAATTGTTAATGTTTTAATGGAAGCTTGTGAAAGTTTAAATTAAATTGTAATAAATTGTAGTATATTGAAGTTGTTTACACCTTAAATTGCTTCTTAAATCACTATTTATTATGATAAATTAATTTTTCTTTTTTGTACACTTTATTATTACTTCTTTAATAAAATTAGTTTGTAATTTCTTTGTTTTATTAATAATAATATTATTTATTGGCACAACCCACATCCTTTACATATTTAATATAAAAAAAAAATCAAACGTGAATATACAAAAAAGAAAAAAAATGTACAAAGCAATATATATTACAATAGAACGGGGTTGCAACCAAATGGACTGCGTTTGGCTCGTAACATAGTCACGATCCACTCCTCCACGCAGCCCGCAGAAAAAAAGAAAAACTATAGATAGATAACAATATAGATGGATTAAGCTAAATACCTCAAACAGCTTTTGACCAGAACCACCAATAGACCAATTTAAACACATTGAACATTGCCACAACTAACTAAATACATCAATTTTTTATATTACCTCTATAATTTCCTTAAAAAATTTTCTTATGGATAAATTTTACTCATATCTAGCACTTTGGTAATTGGAAATTGTTGTGAACCTTGGCCTGTCGTCTCCAAAGCCTCACTTTCTGCCTTCTTAGGTCCTCCTCCACATTGTCCACAAACCATCTCATCAGCCTCCCAACCGATTCACTACCCACAAGTCCACGGTGATAAAAGATAATTGTTGTGGTACATTTTATCCATTGAATTGATGTAGCTAGCATGGCCAATCTATCTTAACCTTCGCATTTTGATAAATTTAATTATCTCTGGTTCGCAATATTCCAGACACCATTGTCATTAACAGGACTTAATAATGGACTTAGATAAAGTTGTCCCATAGATCTCATCCAAAATTTCTACAAGGTGAAATTGACTGATGTATTATTACATTGATATTGTTTGATGGGCTATAAAGCTAAGGGGTATTGAAATACCATTGTCGAAAAATCTCGAACAACGCAACCGCGCTTTCATCTATGGCAATGCTTGGGACTCAATTGATTGGTTTTGGAGTTGGATTGGATTCTAGTTGACTTGCATTTTAGTAGAGCTAGTTTCAAATTAGATTGAATTACCCAATGCTCATTTCCAAAGCAATTTAATTCATATTATTCAATATAATTCATCTTAATCTGAAAGCATCTAATCTAAAAAGCAACCAATCCCGAAAGCATCCCAACTCAAAAATAATCCAACTTGTTAGCAACGTAATGCAAAAACATCTCAACTGTAACGCAACCTTTGGAGTTGGGTCCTTTCCACACCTTCTCCTCCTCGCCCCATCACCTCCCTCATCCATCTTTTGCCCTCGCCCCCCTCTCAAAACATTTGCTTCCTGTCCATTGCCTCCTCTCTTAGCTCACTCCCAAGCTCTCAGCCTGTGTCTCTCAATCCTCTCCACACAACCTACACCACCTCTCCACATCGTCCGCCCAGTACCTACTCCCCTCTCCTCATTACCACAGCGGAATTTGGCCATCAATCTCTTCCCTTCATCATCTCCTTTCATCAACAAATACTTTGGCAGTTCCTCTGTCACTATCTCCCCATACCTTTCATTGTGTCTCCCTTCTCGTATCTGTGACCTTGTTTCCTGCCTCTGTATGTCCCTGTCCCTATCTCTATATTTTCGATCCCAGTCTTCTATAAAGCCGTGTGTCCACTACCAAGTTTTCTTGCGGAATTTGCTTCCAGAAGTTTTTGTCGTGTAAACACGTATTAGAAGTCGACTTCCAGAAGTCACGGCTTGCAGAAGTTACTTGCAGCAATTATGTGGAAACACGTGTTTGGAAGTAACTTGAACGACTTGCTGTGAACTACAAGTGTTTTGAAGACTTGCAGAAGAAGTCGGGTATACGTGAGTAAACGGTTTGTGGTATTCTCTTCTGTTTTCAAAAAAATACACATATATAATCGTTTTAATTTTTATTTCATTATATATTCCATTATATTACATATTCACTTGTACATACTTATTATATATGCCTATATTGCCACTCCACTTCTCCTTCTGGTGAAATAAAGTATTCAGCAAATTCGTTACGAACATTTTTCGGTTCTTGTGCTTGACTGCGTGAATTATGTGGTTCAAGTGGTAACATGTTTCTTTCTGGTATCCCTTCTGTACGGCACTCTCCTTGATTATCGGATACAGGAGAATTAAAAAATGTCATAGACGACGCATATTGAGAATTGCGACTTAACAGACAGTTATGCAGAGCGCCTTAATTAATGGCCTTAACAATTTTTCTTGTTTTTTGTGGACTTAAAAGAATGGGCTTACGTAAAATTCGAAAACGAGATGCAATTTGTCAAAAAAAAATTTTCAACCACATTTCTAGCCCTAAAAAGCCGGTAATTGAAAACACGATTTTGCACTGGCTGGCTCTTGAAAGGGAATGGTCTTTGGGAGGTATAGCCAATCTCATTTTAGTATCCTGCTTTTGAATACTTGTTTGAATTAAAGTTAAAATGTATTCAAAATCATCATTAGACATTCTCAGGAAATTTTTCAGCTGCATGGAGTCTTCAATTTCTCACCCAAACACTTCTTTTTGTTTTTTTTTTAATTTGTTTCTTTTTAATTAAATATACTGCGATGGCAGCTGCCAATCTTATTTTGCCACAAGACATTTTTATACTGTCATTCGTAAAAAAAGCAAAGTACTGCAAGCTGTACTCACATTGTGTGGAAACACGTCTGCAATTTCTTGCAGCAAGTTCGTCGTGATAACTTCTACAAACTACTTCTGGAAGCAGACTTCCGCAAGTTTCGGTTTGAGTGGAAACACTTCAGCAAATACTTGCAGAAGTTCTTCCGCAAGTGACTTGCTAGTGGACACACGGCTTAATATTCCTCCCTATCTCTTTGCCCATAGATCAGCCTCCTCTCCTTAATTTCCCTCCAGCACTCTCCCAGGACCCTTGCTTCTATCATTACCTCATACTTCACTGCTCTTCTCTCAGCCTCCACCCTTACTGCATCCACCTTAACCTCCTCCCTCACTACATACCCCGGAGTCTCCCTTGCCAACCCTAGTAGCTCACTTTAACCTTGGCCATCGTCTCCCTGTACATTTCCTTCACCCTCCCTATCAGTTGTTCTGTGATTCCTCATTTCCTCCCACAACTTCTCTCTATCCACGTTATCGAATGCAGCCTTCAGGTCAATAAACAATTCATATAGCTTTACTCCCTTTTTGTTCAATTCTCTATCTACCAGGTGTTTCAGAATGTATATATTGTCAATTGTCAACAAATTCGGCAACAATTCCCCCCTCTACATTTCCTCTTCCAACCTCCCCAGCAGTACCTTTGCATAAATTTTGAAAGTTGTGTCCAACAGGGTGATCCCTCTATAATTGCTCACTCCCCTTTTTATACAATAGGCACATTATCCCCATCCTCCACCTGTCCGGAAACCTCTCCCCCATCCATACGTCGTTTATTAGCTTCCATAGCATCTTCTTCACTGTTTCCGTCGCCTCCAACCATGCCTCATTCTGGATCTCATCCTGGCGCTCTTCCCCTCTTCAGTCCCTTCAACACTATTTCTATTTCTTCCAGTGTTATCTCTTCTTCTCCTTGGACCCCTCGCTTTCCCTCTCAAAGTCTTCTCTTTTTCACCCCTCCCAACAATCCCATGAAATAGGTTCTCCATTCAGTCATTTGTATATCTCTGCTAGGATGGAGATAATATTAGATAATATGGAATAAAGTATAACGCCAGAGAACAGCACGGCGACGTTGACGCTTGGTAGCAGAGACAGATCACTACTAAGGTGAGAGATGAGAGGCTGGGTTTGGATTTTGCGGAATAGGAGAAAGTAAACAGGTTTCAAAAACATGTTTTAAAACTATGTTGGTACAAACAACCCACCAGTTGGGTAAGGATCATAGGAAGGTAAATAGTAATACAAATTTAAACGGAATTATATGTTTGCATATACGCGACGCTATGGCTGGCTGGTTCTCTGATTGACATGGAACGGTGTGGCTGGCAGTTTTCTAGAAAGCTTACCAGTTAGCAGGAATAGTGGTTCAAACTACAAAGTGCAAACAAGTGACAATAATTTAGTGGATTTATTTGACATGACTCTACGGCTGGCTGGCCCTTTGGCTGTCATGGAACAAAGTGGAAAGTTTGGAGAATGGAATGATGTCCAGGGAGGGTAGTAGGAGAAGGAGTGCAATGAGATAGAGATTGATTACGAAATACGTCATCTATTATTCCCCCTTGCAGAATGATTAAGGCCCTAGAGGGCGGTTTCTGGCTTTAACATCTAGAAGACGCCAACAGTAGGTCGGGTGCGTAACGCATTTTCTCCTCCTCTGTATCAAAAAAAAGTTGGTGTTAGATTGATTTGCTTTGGAGTTAGGTTGATTTCGAGATAGATTCTTTTCGGGTTCATTCGCTTTACAGTTGGGTAGGTTGCTCTTGAGTTAGGTTGGTGTCAAATGTGTTATTAAAGCTGATTCCGAACATGGGTGGACCAGAGCCAGCAAAAGAACTGATTGCGGGCTTCGGTATCGGTAATTCGTTATGCAGCACCGACATGGAATGAGATTTCAACACTGTACAAGTGCTATTAATAATGCCATAATTATGTATAATGCCATACCCTGGATTAACCAAGATTGGAGAGAAGTAGACTATTATACTACACAAGCACTGACAGGCCATGGATTTTTTGGCACATTGTACAAAATTCGATGATGAAAGGGAAGAGTGTTGGAAAGTGTACGAAAAGCTACCGAAGGCAGGAAATGAAAGAAAGTTGATGCGCAAGGTTGAGCCTAACTGGAAAGAGGATACTGAAATATTTGGAAAAATCATGAAATTTAAGATGAAGGTTGAATATGAGACGGAAATGGTTGGATCAAAAGCTACAGTACTAAGAGGAAACTAACAAAAGTGTTTGTTGTAAAATTAAGTTGACTTCTCTGATTTTTTAATACAACACCGAGGAGATTTTCGATTTATTAGGCGGGCACACACTCCCACACTTCCAGCGAAAGTATCGAAGTTTCCATTTGAAGATCTTAGGCGCCAACAGTAACTTAGTTTAAGCAGATATTATAGTACATCCTTCAATATCAGTTGAAGGCGTTGCAATATA